CTGGGCTTACTGCATGTGAAGCTGTCCGAGGGTTTGGCAGTTGCTTCCTTTTACATTAACTTCTCATTTACTAACTGCCACAGAGCTATTGTGTGAAGGTTACTACATAATGTGTACTTCACAATATTAATAGTGTCAACCTCTTATGCTGGAATCATTCTGTACAATATCAGTCTTCAAATGAGCCAACCAGACCAGACAGAAATGGGGCATCCAAAACATGAGGCATGACAGCATACAATGGCAACAGGCGACCAATTCTGAACCAAAAGGCGCCTCGTCGTTTAACAATGTTGACGACAAGACAGTGCTCATGTCACGATCCCAGAAGTTTGTCTCTGTCCTTCCTGTCCAATCACCTTTGCACATCATGCAGGTTGTGAAAGACTGCAAGCTAATATTAGACGCAGTTTACCGCATGGTCAGACATGTCCACAATAAACTACTGTAATATGACATAGTGAGCAGCTGGAGAAACATTTGTCTTGTGTTGTTGTGGTTGTTTGAACCAATCGCATAATAACACACTACGAAACTTTAGAGCCCAAAAAGAGTTAATTGTATTTGTGACCACACCCTACAAACTGATATAATTTTAGGTATGATTTTGTAGTTATGAGTGGCGGATCATTTCGAGTGCTTGAAGGCAATGCTTGTGGCAATCCACAATGTTTTTTTTTATATAATCACACTAATCACATAAACTGCAAACATCATCATCACGAGCAAAATCAAACTATGAGCATAATGTGTTTATACAAACTAGTATTATCTGCAATTTCAAGGCTCACCAGTTATAGTCTTTGATAAAACAAAAGAACAATATTACACAAACAGAGTCTGCTTCCTTTGGTGGGAACGCAGAATCAATGGGATCATCTGATTTTGGCCCAAAAGCAGAGCTCTGAAAAAACATTAAACCAGAAATGTGGGGAAACAGTAGAGCAAAGAGAGATCAAGTTGTGAGACCTGAGGAAGTGCTTGGCTTGGTCATAATGTGCTGCTTGGCTCAGGCACTTCCTCCATCTACAAACACTTTGAAGAGCCAAACTGTAGCACAAGCAGCATAACTAAAACAAGTCAGCTGACATAGCATGAACACAAAGACACAGCAGGAGCAAGAATCAAAATCAAAAAGGCAGTTAAAGGCCTAAAGGTACATGTAGGACATATGTGATAAAAAGAAACTGTGCCACTGTCACCTGAGAGTAATGTTTTCTGTTCCTCAACAACAAGCTCAAGAGGGCAACCAGTGCAAAGGTCATTAGGACACTGATCATGTGCTGCCTTCATGCTTTTTTGCTTTTTTTGTTGACTGGTGTTCATGTCTTGTCAAGGCTATTTTTGCCTCCTGGGGGCCCCTCCTCAGCACATAAGCACCACTGTTTACAGGGTGTGTTGACTGCGAGCCAGGAGAGCCTCTGGTCTGCAGGCTCCACTCGCCCTGCACTGCCCAGACGGCCCATTCATCCCCACCGGCTGGGAAGCACTCACACCCTCTCAGTTTCTCAAAGGCTCTCTCTCAGTGTCACAGCAAGGACAGCTAGGGGTTCCGTGATGAGTTGGATCAAATTCCCACTAGCCATTTAGCTACACATCTTTATTACGCTGCCATTCAACATCATTTATGCTTTGTTGATGATGAGTATCATCTCACTACAGTGGAGAGTTTCCACCTGAGAGCACCACCTGGTGAAATGAAACCTTCTCACAGAGCTTGCCAAGCCCTCTTTTTCCAAAATTCCTGTTGTACTCTAATATTTGGAATCTAAACAATTAGACATTTTGTCATTCATTAATAAAACACCAAGTGGATAACACCACTCTGCAACCTTGGCCTTCATAGGGTGAGGCTCCATCTGCTCTGTAATAAAACAGAACTAAGCGGAAACGAAATGTTTGGCCTTGGGGACAAAAACAATCAAAGTGTTGCCTCTGACTGGAGCAACTCACTCTGTCATTACTCAGCATGACATCATGGGAGGAAACAAAAAACTGGCGTGACAATAGCTATGTTTTTACAGGGAAAAAATGGGGCACAAGTATGGATTCTTTGTACCAGTAAAACTATTCAGGTGAGCCACAGAGGGAATGAGGGCAATAGTATTCTCACACATAATCCAAGCCCAATAAATACTTTGACTATTTGTCATCATTACTGAGGAATGCATGGGACACACTACAAGCAAAGAATGTAAAAATTAAAGCCCCATCCATCTGCATTATTGTGCAATCCACTTATAATTTTTTAATTTATTGACAGATAATTTTATCTTGAAAATGCTAAGTTATGTGAAAAATTACATCATCCTTATGTCTTTAAATTCCTTGTTTTGTCCAACCAACTGTCCACATCCCCAAAATATATCACTTACAATAATATGATATAGTGAAAATGGATTAATCTATTATCTTAATTACTGTGGATTTATTTTCTACAAATCAACTAATCATTTAATCACTTCAGCCCACATAGGAGTGACATGCAAAGACATAAGAACTCACCAGCACATGCATTGAGGAACAGCCAGTCTGTTTTCCTCATTCTGTTTCTAATCTGCTTTAGCTTCTTGAAGTCGACCTCTTGCTCCTCGTTGCTGCTCATGGCTGCAGCTGCAAGCTCTATCCTCTGGAAGTCCATTTTAACATTGTCTTCCCTCTTGGGCATAGGAGGTGACCTCCTTTGGCCCTGGCCTCCACTGCAACTGCCCCTCCACCGAGCCCTGTCCTGCTCATTGATCAAGGGTGACGGCTCCGCAGACTCTGCCAGCTCTATAGCTTCCTGGTTGTTGGGCTTCGGGTGGTCACACACCACACACTTTGTAGTTTTGGGCCAGTTCTGGTAAGTACAAGCTGTGCATGTCCAGTGCTGCTGGTGGGTGTTGAGTCTGTTTCTGTCATTGTACTCCTCACAGGTGTCCACAGGTGAGTGGAGGGCAGGACGGCAGCCTGCGTTGGAGCCTGAAGTCTGTGGGGACTCAGTGGGGCTGCTGGTCCTCGGACGCTGACACAGGCACTGCGTGCAGCGGATTGCACGAGGCCAGTTCAAGTAGGTGCACATCTGGCAGGACCACTTACTGGCAATCTCAGCCATGCTAGCAGACTTAACCCTTGGCCTAGCACTGGAGTCAGGGCAGATGAGGAGGCTGCTGCCACTCTCAGTTCTGGGAGGGTCCCACTCTACACTGGGAGCCAGATCAGGGCTGTTCTTGTAAGGTTCCTCTGTGATGATGGGACCCATCGACCTCTGTGCACGGCACATAGTGCACTTGACCGCAGATGGCCAGTTTTCATAGGTGCAGTAGTCACAGGCCCACTTGATCTTCTGTTCCGTCATTGTGGATCGCTTTGGTTGGTCACACTGTGGTGATAAATGTAGTCAGATGTGAGTCATAAACAGAAGTTTTGGAAATTATCTTGAAGGTCAATAAATATGATAAAATAGTTATGTACTTGAGATACATAAATCAAGTGAAGAGATTGCACTGAGTTATTCCAAGTATGTGTTCCAGCAGTTTGTAAACTAACTTGCATCTGGTCGGGCATCTTCAATGACACTGGCAGGCTGAGACTATATTGTTATTGAAAGACTAAAATGGCCTGTCAGCTATTTATTATCGATCACAGTGTATGCGTGGTAAAGAGCCTGGCTTTAATTCACTTGAACGGGTGGCTTTGCTGCATTACCATGTAGTAATGTTTCAGTCTTTAGTGTTAGCTTGCTAGCTGGTAGGCTAACCACACAGCTAGCATTCATAGCCACCGTCAATTTTAACAATTACCGAACATTTCATAAAACGTATAGTCCTAGGCCATTTCATTAACCGGAACATTTGAAGAAAATATGCCAAACTCTTACCGTTTTGCGGCTGCGCTCGTTTCTCAAGTGCTGCTGAAAACCACAACAAACCCTTCTTGTCCAGTCCCCCCTCCTCCTCCTGCTCTATCAAACCTTTCCCAATCCGAGTTATTTGGACCCCTTTGGCCTCTCACATTTTTACCTTTATGGACACATTAACCTCTCGCAGAATAAACCACACCTTGGCAAAGCCTGTGTACTCCTCGAATCATGGTATAAATCCGCGACACTCCATGGTTTACATTGCCTCCGTGTTGTTTAATGGCGGCGACAGTGAGACAAATGAGTAGCAGAGCCAAAATAAACGCTAGCCTGCCTTCGTCACCAATCATCTGGCTCAGCGCTCAATGCGATTGGATGAAAGACAGTACTGTGGGGCCTTCAGAGCCCATCGGAAATATTACAACCTCTGATGAACGAAAATTTATGAGAAGTTCAAAAGAATGGGGTCATCTGATTTTCAGGGGCAGAAAAAGTCTTTACTATGTTACTCCAATTCTTTCTCTATTTGCTGAGATTTGGGCCTGTCATGTTTAGTCTCTACTGTGAAGCATGCCATTTTTATATTATGCTAAAAAAAACATGAACTTCTGGAGCGGTTGACCACACGATTCTAAAATATCCGAGCTTTTTAGAACCAGTAAAAGCTTCATTACTCATGGTGGTTGCGGGGTGAAATTGTGTCACTTGATTTTTATAAATAAAACGAGAATCTAGATGTTGTAGACAGCAAATGAATCTTAACAAGTCTAAAGAACAATTTTTATGTACAGAGAAGGGGATAGTCCACAAGCCCTTAATTACTTTTAATTTATTTTACACCAAAGTGAAACACTATTACGAGATTTCATGGACAGAAATAGACAGTACATGCTTGTCTTGCATTACAAAAGAAACTTCGGTCGGTTATGAATCCCCTTTTATTGACCTCGAGGTTACATCAGTGGTTATTTTAAGATGTTGGTATTTTACTAGGTACACAAATATACATACATATATAATTATGAATTTTAAATTAATGTCTTATGGGTATCATTATGTTTGAAACAAATGCCAAAAGAACAATTAAATATAGATTTATTGTGACAGGGTTCCTATATTTTTTTGGACACGCCTCCTGTCAGAACGTCGCATCTAAAACATGGCAGCTTACTTGAGTCGGTTACACCACATTTCGCTCCACGTTTCTAACGTGGAGAAAATAACCAACGACCTCGTCTCTAAGTTCAAATTTAATTTGTTTGCTACCAGACTAACCGAAAGGTCCAGACAGCTGGCTTTCAGAAAAGGAGCGGCAGTTTTCGTCGTGAATGAGAGACCAAACCAGAGCAGTGTGAGAATGAATGGAGAGCTGCTGGGCTTCACAGACACACATTCACCTGATACACACCGGGTCAAGTCGGGGAAATGCAACCAGGAGAATTCCACGAAATGTCTGTTCGATGTCAGCCCACATTATTCGGTGGATACTGTAAGCAACGTGTGTTTCGAGGTGGAGGATGTGGAAAGGTCATTCAAGGCTCTTCGCCATCTGGGCTGCAATTTCCTGGTGCCTCCCACCACAGTTCAGGACGAGGGCGGTCTTGTCACCTACTTGGTGGTTAAATCCATTGTGGGGAATGTGTGCCACACACTAATCGACAGGACCAAATATGAGGGAAACTTCTTGCCTGGGTTTGATGTTGTTGAAAAGAACAGCAGCTCAGAAGAAGAGGACAGGTCTTGTCCAGTCACACATTTTGACCACATAACTTATGCCTGTCCCAGGAAAACTACCCACCAGGTCATGAGGTGGTATGAGCAGCTTTTTGGTTTCCAGAGGTTTTTCATTGATAGGTGAGGATCTATGGGTATTTACAGTCATACTCTTTATTTTGTTTAACGTGATGTCAGCAATAAAGACGACTGTTTCTTCTTCTGAGTAGTGAGGAAGATTTGGACGAAGGTTTTGTCATAAACCAGGAGGGCATTGGACTGCGTCTTACCGCCATGGAGTACTGGAAATGCAGCAAAGCAGGCATCATTCTTCCCTCTGTGGACAAAAAAGAGCCCGATTGCAAGTTTGTCATTGCAGAATCACTGCCTGAACAAGGTAACAGCAGCCACTCCCATCCTTCAACGTATTTAAAGTCTGCCATAATTTCTGATCTCACAAGTCCTGTGTCACCGTCTGCTCGCTCTAATTTCAGGCAGGAACCAGGTCGATACCTTCCTGGAGGAGCACAGGGCCCCGGGGATCCAGCACATTGGGCTGTACACAAAAAACATTGTTTCTACTGCACATACAATGGCCGAAGCTGGTGTACAGTTTTTCTCCCCTCCTCCTGCCTACTACACCAAGGTTCGACCGACTCTTTCAGACCAGTAATGACTCGATTACTGCAAGACTTAACCCACATTTTATCCAACAAGTCAAAAAGGGTATTATATAGTATGTGTGAATAAACGGACACAGGAAACAGATCAGGGTTGTCTTTAGACATCGACATTGCAGGGCTGCACTGTGCTTGTGAAACTGAATCACTTCCTCTAAGTCCAAAAGGAAACTTTACAACCACTGACTTGGTATAATAGTAAATCAACATTACTTTTCTATTATTTTGTGTGTGATTTCTGTATGAGTCTCTCACTATACATGTATGGTCTTTTAACAAGTCAGTTTCCATGGCTGATTATTACATTAAATAATAGAATTTCACATATGCAGGTTGTATTTGCAAGCATATCATCTTCTTCCTTGTTTATTAACACTTTTACCTATGCTGTGTTGTACTGTGACAGGTGGGAAAACAGCAGGAAATAGAGGCTGCAGGACACAACCCCCAGATGCTGGCGCAGCATGGCATTCTCCTGGACACAGACCTGCACCAGGATCTCTCATCAGAGAAAGCATCCAGTGAAAACAGAAGGTGAGAGGCAATAAAGAGCCATAAACTTGTCTCACACGTCAGTGTTTTTTTGTTTTTTTTTCTTATAGAGGTTCTTGCAGGTGTCAAGCATATTAATGATGGTTTCTAGCCGTTTTCTCACTGTTCTGGATAATACAATTTGAGCAGCTCAAAGCACATTATTTTGGTAAGTATTAAAAAACAATATATTCCATGAGTCATAGGCACATAATCACAGTCAGAGCCTCATGAGAGCCTTAATAGTTAAATGGTTTTTTATCCTTGTCAAAATGACAAGATGTTCAAATTTTACCGTCCAGTACAGTAGCAGATTTCCGCTGACCATGGAATATGGACAGAAAACCTCAGGAAATGTTTTATTTATTTATTTATTTTTAGAAAAAATGACCAATGTCCATGAGAAATTCCATCTAGCAGTGAAAGCAATGAGAACAGAGGCTAACCCAGATGTGAAATGCCTCATGTAAGACCAGCCAAGTGTCCTCAACTTGTTATCGTCTATTTCCAGATACCTTCTCCAGGTGTTCACCAAGCCCATCTTTGCAGAGGACACATTCTTCCTTGAGCTGATAGAGCGAAGAGGGGCGACGGGTTTTGGCGAGGGAAACATCAGAGCGCTGTGGAGGTCTGTGCAGGCCTACATGGAGAATGAGAGGGAGGATTCTCAAGGAGAGGGATCCCCAAAAACTGTTCACACTGCTCACACTGCTCAGTATTAGTCACTCCAGACATTATTAACTGAGGTTATTTTATTTAATGTGTTTTATATATATATATCAATGTGAGAGCACATGTTAGGGAAAAAAGTATGTGAGATATAAAAAAGATGTAAAATAACAGATCAAAACTGCATCGTGAACAAAGTGGTTCAAAAACAGATGTTACATACTATACTTGAAACGTGACAAAATAAATACACTTGCTGTAAAAGAATGTCTTTGGTTTTTTTTTTTGTTTCACTGCAAAGCAACTGATGACTCCAGAGCTCCTCGATAAATTTGTAACTCACAGCGGACCGTGAAAACCAATTACTACAAAATAATGTGCTCAGTGTTTCTTCGAATGTTTGTGGGCCAAACTTCACAATAAGAGTTTTTGAAATCTCTCAGGTCATCTTAGCCAGGGGTTTTGGTACTTTCCTGGACAATTTCTATTTCATTCAATTTTCCTTGTACTTTTTCCCTACAACATTTGAGAAGGAAATGTTCTCTTTACTCCACTACATTTATAGTTACTAATATTTACTTTACAGATTCTGATTTTACAAACCTTTTATATACTTGACGTACTAGTAGAACTATATTACTGCTATAGATCAGACAATAATATATAATCATATAAAGTAATATACAACTCACAGATGTAATTTTTATTCATAATGAGTCCTTTAACTTTTGATATGTGAAGTAGATTTTGATAATAATAATTACAAACTTTTACCTTTTTTGGATTTTGAATGCAGTAATTAAAGGAGCTGAACACTTCTCTCATTATTGATGCCTTGTTACAGATTAAATTACATAAAGTAGGTACACTTAACTCCAGCTCAAGCTACTAAAAGACTAAAAGGCTGCTTACATGTTGATGCACCAATATCAATAATGATATATAGCATAATATAATATTCTGCATATTGGTTACTTTAAATACTTGATTACATTCTCTCAACCTTTACTACTAATGCTTGTTTTTACACTGCAGTATTCCTGCTTTACTATCCTTAAAAAACTATATATACATCTTCCACCATTGTCTATATACACAACAGAGGAATAGTGACCACTTTATCATTAACTCAGGCAAAGACTTAAGGCCATTTCACCTCACTAAATATCCTAGATTTTCACCCCTACAGTATTTAGATTGAAAATGTAGCCTTATCTAGGATTATTAGATATTTTTATTAGTTGACTTTATCATATAAACATTAAAAGCTAAGGCACCCCTTTTTTTCCTCAATAACTCACTCATACAGTCACTCATGAACCGTTACTAGAGGAACAGCTGCACCTCTTTCAGATGCTGCGGAGGTTTTAGCGATATGCATGCTTTGGCAAAAACATGGCTTTAGAGCCTCTTAGAAGGGATCTTCAAACCCACAGAGATGTGCCAGTTCAATTAACTTGACTATAAACATTATAGGCAAGGATTAGTGGGATAGATGAGAAGCAGTGAAAATTTAGATGGCGTTCCATGAAAGCCATATGCTCTTTTTATGTCCTGACTGTAGTTACAGTATCCCATTGAGTAACGCCGGAGAATAATTTCAACCACAAGCTTCAAAAAGTCAGTTTGTAAATGCATGTACTTCTGCATTTTGACAAGTGGTGTCAGTGTTCTTCTTTTACTTAAGTGTCGCCCTCTTGGCAAATGTAAACTTTTAGAATTGACTGTATCTTGGATTTGTGCCTACTAATAGAACATTTCTGATTCTAAGAGTGACTACAAACAGAAATACTACATACAGAACACTGTAGCTGTACTCTTCATTCAGCTTTGGAAGTAATTTGTGGACTGACTGCATTCGTTTAAAATTATAAATTAACACAAATTGGTAAATCTTAAATCATAAATGAGGAGTTTTGTCAGGGAGGGGAAAGATTAACTGTTCATTAAAGTTGAGGAGGGATGGCTCCTGTAACAGGAGTGCTTTAGCCATCTGTCTGCAGCCAGTGTGAAACACAGATGGCATTCAGCATTCTGCATGGGGTCTCAGTACTGGGAGTTGGAAGATCACCTCCTATTTACTGTTTACCATATGGTAACTACAGTTACATTAAGAAAGTCAAAAGACAAAGTCAAGACAAAATAACTATATAAGCCATTACCCTTCAGTTCGATCTTTTGGCCTCTTTGTGGCACTGTGATTGGTGGATACTGCCCCCTATGGTTTTTTACAGTCATAACACACACTGCCAAAGTTGTTGAACTGCAAGACTCCTAATCCTGTATAATAAGCTGTTTTGATCATCTTCTTCCCAAAGAGTCATCTGTGGCCTTTTAGGACAACAAAACACAACATGCAAAGTTTGCTATGACATATACTCTGATTGCTGAAGGGGTTTTGGTAAAAACAACTTGCCCCCCCCACACACACACACACACACACACACACCCACACCCACACACACACACACACACACCCCACCCCACACACCCCACACTGTAGCCTACATAGTGGAGGAGACAAATCCTTGGTGCTCTTTAACACAAAAGGCAGACAGTCTAAAACCGAGGAGGACAGTACGACAGTCTGACAGTCTGGGGGAGATTAGTGGCACACAACAGATGTTACTCCTTGATTAACAATAGTGTCTGCCAGGGGTGAGCCTCAGCTCCCCACCCTTCTGAGCCCCACTGTGTTAACTTCAGCTCCCACAAAATAAATCAGCTTACTCTACTTGATGATATGGGATGTTTTTCATCTTTCTGAAATATACAGAAAAAAAATTAAATCTGTAATTGGCTTATGATTCAGCATTATAACTGAGTCAACCATGTAAATAACAAGGTTTATGACTCTGTTGTCATTGGCTTACAATGTGCAGACAATAACTAAACATACAGGAAGCTAAAGAAAAAAACACACTGCCCAACTTTAGACAATAGAGAGCTCCCATGGTGATTAACAAGACGACAGAAAAACCTGTCTCTAATGTCTGTTTATTTTCTTGTGAAATACTGGTTTTTCCTGTTCAGGCTTGCAAAATTTATCCAAATACATTTTTCCACAGGATCACTGGGACAAATCTCTCTTTGGTGGATAGATTTTAAGTGTTGACTATACTGTAGATACACCCATTGCATAATATATGTATATATAGACAACTAAACCTAGATGGTTAAATAATAGTATATTGTATGCTGTTGTATGTTATGATAAAAGCAGAATTTACTTCCTAGAAGGAGAACATCTGTTTGTAATAAATGTATTGAATTTATTTAGGACTAACCCTTATTACACTGGGGTTCATTTTGTGGGGGGTGGTGGGTGGGGGGCTAGCAATATACATATAACACACATCTCTTTCTTTCCTCCTCTATGTGGCTCTCTAAATCACACACAGTTGCCAGGTTATCGTGTTACACCACTGTATATTGTGAAAGTGCCTTGTCTATATGCACAGCTCAAAACTGTGATTACTTTTCATTACTGCAGGGTGGCTCAGACCACTAGTTACAAGAGCAGGGGTAGTGCGTGCTACAAAAAGTCGTATACAGATTAATATTTAACTTTCAGGAACTCAGGGACTTCATCTGACTAAAACATAAAGCGGCAAAGAGTCAAATAATGCAAATAATTCACATCAAACTGAAAAATTTCGTGGCACAAATGACTCATCGGAAATCTCCACCCCTGTCAGAAGTGGTATCGCTCCTGTATGTTGTCACAGGCTCATTAGCGTGCAATCTTGGACAGTAGTGCACTGGGGTAATGTTGTAGTTTGCAGGAGCTGCCTGGAGCAGGACGTGAAGTGAACTGCTCGCTTTGCTTCCTGCCTGACGCCTTTCGTTCAGTCTTTCTGCTAAAACAAAACTACAACATGGTCCAGCGAAACTAAGCAGCTGCTGCCCGGTGCTGTTGGAGACCCCGAGGCGCTCACCGTGATGCTTGTGAGTGGTAGTTTTTTTTTTTTTTTTTTTTTTTTTTAAAGTCAAATAATAAGTTTCTGTGCTGGCTAACTTTGGGGCTGTAGCTAGTTCATATAAAGTGTGATGCTCCCTTGTGTTTAGAAAGTGAGTGATTCGCATGAATGGGGATTTTTATGCTGACATACGTAATTACAAATGTCCAGTAACAAAGTAGAGCTCTTTATGGAGACTAAACATAGCTCCAGTTAGTTAGCTTAGCAACTTTCCTCATGAGTACTGGATAAGCTATGTCCCTTTTGTCTTGTCAGGGTTATTACTTACATAAATGCTGCTTAAACTGATTTTTATCTGCTTCTCCCCACTTTTATTACGTCTGTATTGCCACGCAATATATTAATAAAGACACAATGAGGTGATATGTTGTAGGGAAGGTTGATAAAACAAGTGTCCATAAGTTTAAACTTGTCCACACATATGCAGAGTCTTAAAATGATCCCTGGTTAACTACATCATCCATTCATTTCGATGTAACCACAAAAAGTGTGCTTGCCTCGTTTCATATCTGACGAAAAAGTGTAAATTCAATCAGATTAGTTGATAAAACTAACCAAGTGTTTTTTGAAATTCACAAAGAATCCCTACCTTCCCTGGATCAAAAACATTTTATTTGAATTGGCTTGCTTTGAAGTGCAAACTGGGGTTTCACTCATGCATGGCACACATGACAAAACAGGGCCAGTTTTGTTTGGTGGAAAACCATTTTAATACATTTATAAGCAGGCACTGGTTGCATGCCTTTATGCCTGATGCCACATTACAGTATTTGGTAGCCATGTAATTTGTAATATAATTTCTCAGACCCTCTTTCTTGCATGTCACAGTTTGTGCCAATGCAGTGGAATGTTGTTGTCTTATCTTTATCTAGCCAACCTTCCCCTCAGGTATGAAGACAGGGCTGGCTGACACACAATCCAACAGATTCTGCAATTTAAGTGCTCAGCGGCATCATAAACACAAGAGCTTGTTAAACCTGAACTCCTCAGAGTGTCCCATGTTCATGATTATGACTGCTAAAGTTCATGAGTGGCTTGAACATGCATAAATTATAAGTTCAACAGAGAAAATGGGAGGCTTACTGTTAAAGAACAAATGTATCACTTTACTTTTTGAGTATGTACATTTCATATTTTATCATCAGTAGCTTGTGGCCTTTCTCTCGAGTTCAAAATCCTGTTTGCTCTGTAGCCTGCGTGTAACATTCTGTGAGCTCCCGTCACACCAATTTCTTTGCCAAACTCATTTCCCTTTCATGAGGGATTTTGGAAA